CCAAAAAATAATGAAGTGCCTGAGTTTCGCATAAGTCTTTTGTGTGAAACGTAGTCTAAAGATTTTGATTAAATTAAACAAAGTAGGAGGAACTGAATTTTCAAATTTAATACTACAACGATGTTCAGCAATCTTGCTCAGAAGCATTCTGTGAGAAAGGGAAAGGGAAGTTGGTTTAAGTGAATGAAATTTCTTTTTACTTTTTTTTCACTGCACATCATGAAATTAAATAACAAATGCAAACGAGTATACAATGTAAATGACAACGAGCCTGTTATGTATAAAAAATCTATGCCGCAATGCATGTCAAAAGGCTGAAAACAGAAACCAAGATAAAAAAGAGAGAAAAGAAGGGGAAAAAATGTGCCCAGAAAGAGACGTAAAAATGTAATACATAAAATGAAAATCGAGACCATTCAGTGATCGCGAAAAATCACAAATTCTATACACGATATTATTTAATGGCCAACAAACTTATGGATCTGTAATTCTCAAATTCAGACGTAAAACAGCAGTGCCTCGAGCTTTATGCATGAAGTATTGGCCGGGAAAAATATCTCACATTTAGAAAATATTTCCGAAAATTTTCAAACTACTAAAAATATTTACATCCTACAAAACCAGATAAACTTATATTTAAAACAACTAAAAGTCTGTGAAACGAAAGCATACTCCAAATTTCAAACAAATACAAGGCCATCGTCAACAAGAAACTGGAACGTTTATTATCAGTGTTTTGTTACGAAGCACAATTGTAGATTTTGCTTTACGGAAATCCATTTTGAACGGGACGTAAAAATCGACAACTGTGTGAAAGTGATCATGAACAATAAGATGATCGTCATTCATTTTTACGTGTAAACTAAAATATTTCAAGTCTAACAAAACTAAAAGCTCGACAAATAAAAAACTGAAACTTTAAGAATTATTAGGAACCCTCACCTGATCACAAACCACTATGGAAAAAATACCGTATGTTATAAACAATATTTTTACCTTAGTAGATAAATGATGATATAACTTTACTTAATTTGAAAGTTAAAAAATGAAATCATCTACTCCCAAAATTAATAAAAAAAAGTTTAGTAAAATAAATTAAAATATAAATAAAGCTTTGTCAAAATACCTTTTTGCGTAATCGCTGCTATCCGATAGCTCCGGTATTCTACACTTGATTTCAAGCTCTCGCCCGTTACGTAGAACCATCAAACAGTCCTTTAAGTCGGGATAATCATCGATTTCTGGTACCTGAAAAAATTCTGAATTCAACCCACCGTTTATAAAGGTATGCTGATCACACCAATCTCATCCTTACTTTTTGTTTAAAATAAAAACATTATTCTATTATTGTGCCAAGCAAAAAAATCTAAACCACCTGTTGAAAATTTGCAGATTTCTGTCCCAACTCCTCTATAACGGATTGCTCTGGTCTCTTCCTAATCCGATGACTAGAAATTTCTCCCATAACTTTCCTGTTTTTCAAACGTATTGCATCCTAAAAGGCATCAAAAAGTATTATTAAGAATTTCTGGAAAAAGCCATATAGCTCTACAGTTCGATTACCTTGCACTCGATGATAATGCCGTGCTTCTTCTTAATAGCTTCCGAAGCAAGGAGCAATAATAGCTGCCTAAAAAATTCACTCTTTTCCAAACGTTTCTTGAAGAAGCCTGAGTTTACCACCACGTCGATCTGAAATAACCGCTGAAGCATGATGAGAAGACAAATTCTGCCGAAAAAAGCCAAAAATAAAATAATTAACGAAAATAAAAATAAATAAAGATAAGATAAAACGTGACACAAAAGCTTAGCGTCTCCTTTTAATGATGTAAATACTCATACTTTTACTAGTAGAACTGCATCTGATCTGCAGCTGTTCTAAATTTGTAGGCAACGTTAAAAAAAAAACCTTTGCCGAATTCTCATCTTTGTTGTCACGTACGCATTCTAACTCTCCAATGCAAAGCGGAACTTTGTATTTTGAAGCGTCACTAGAATCGAGAATTTCAGCAACTTGATCCTATAAATTTCAAAACTTTTCTTAGGGGTACAATGTCAAAATAAAAATTCACCAGGTTCTGCTAATACTAGCAACAATTTGAATTTTTGTTGCTGAACGTCATACTCTAAAGAGTAATTCTGAATAGAAAAATAAAATGCAAATCCAACTTATACTGTTCAAGAAAGTGACCTCATCCAAGTCCTCCATTGGAGCGGGTAATTCCTCGCAGTGACATACATTCAAAAAAAGCTTGTAAGTGTTGCTGTCAGGGAAAAGTTTCGAACCAAGACTGACCTGGAAGTGTCAGCCTAAACTTCATATAAAAATAATTCTCACGGCAACATCAAATCCACAACATCATCAAAAGTGCCAAAAAAAAAAAAAACAAACCAATTCTGTCACAGCTGATATTTTCGCGCAAGACTCTAGGAAAACAAAAGCTCCTAATATTAAAGAACAAAGAAAAAAATACTTCTCTGAACTTCAGGACATAACCACAACACGGTTGCACGACCCATACTTCATCACTCCCATCCGTGCTTTTTTCCACAATCATTAGAAAAAATAAGCTTCCTAATGTGAAACCAAACCTAAAGAGATTTTTGAAAACCTAACAAACACAGCAGCAAGCCACATTAATCAAAGTCTCATATCACACAACCCTCCTAAGAACACCAGAAACTTCCCACTATATACCAGTTGATAACGGTTCAGATGGAACAGCAGCAAATCCTAACCAGAAGTTGCGAAATCAGAAGCAAGCAAACCTTCCAGAACCACGAGTTTAAACCCTTTATTCAACAAAAGTTCGGATATGAGATATTTTAGACCCTCAACAAACAAATGGCTTTTCTGTCTTGCCTAAATAGTGAACACAACAATGGAAAGAAGTCGCTATAAAACACGTTTACCCAAGCATCTGAACAACAAAAAAACATAACCAAAATCTCTATCTACAAAAAAAAAAAATTAATATAAAAACAACAAGAAATCCACCAAATACTTTCCTTACGAAGTACACCACATACCCAAAAAAAAAAAA